CTAGCACTGGACCGATGTGTGATGGCATAGGGATATTCCTTTGGAAACTGTCATCAGATCCGTGAGTCCCTTCACCTCGTCATTCAGACAGCTCCTTTCAGATTTTTGGTTATCTGTAGGATCCAGACCTAGAAAATCCAAGACATCTTGATCGACCTCTGCTTCTTCTTCTGGAGGCAGTCTCACAAATCCCCATAGACAATTGTTGATGACCGATTGATATATCAGTGGCGCATTCTTGAGTCCGAATGGCATGCAAGTCCATTGGAAGTGCCCGAACGGACAGACAAACGCCGATATCAGCTTCGCTCTTTCGGACATCTTGATCGCCCAAAAGCCGCTCGCCATATCCAAGCTCATAAACCACATAACATCCTCGAACCCAACCAGCAGATCGCCTATTAGCGGTAGAGGGTAATTGGACAGTGTAATGAATCCATTGACAATTCGGTAATCGACACACATTCGGATATCCACACCATTTTGCTTGAGGACAATCACAATGGGTGATGCCCATGGTGATTCTGAATGCTCAATGAGTCGGGTTTCCAAACGTTTCTTCAGCAGTTCATACACTTTGATCGCTAAGTGCGGTGCCACAGATCGGGGACGTTAAGCAACAGGGTTCGCTTCTCCAACATCCAAATCACAGGTGATACCTCGCGCCGGGGATGGATCCGCACTCCCATCTCCCAGGAAGATGGCTCGATGATACTTCAGGATCGCTCGCAATCTTCGCTCGTCTTCTGGAGTGCTCGTCCCAGATTCACCAACGTCAGTCGAATCGATATCACACTTCGGATATAATTCTTCGATATCCGGAAGCAATGCGAGTTGTTCCCAGAGTTGTGATAATGTTTCGCTCCGCTCATGAATATAGCCTGCGTGTTCGAGGTCTAATTCTTCGGCACTTATTCGCATGACGCGGTAATACTCTAACTCAAGCTGTTGAACTGGCGTACAAGCCATCACCGACACCGGCAAGTCCGAAAAGACATCATCCTCGAGTTCCACTTTTGGAATGTCCTCCAAATTAACTTCTGGAAAATCATCTTCGACACTAATTGAGTCGAAAAATTCGTCGCCATCGGAGTCCTGGTCATCTAGTACTCCCTCGACCTCGCCTGATGGAACATCCGTTGTTTCATCTTCAACTTCCGAAATCTCGCTCACTTCAGGTATTGTCGTCGACACTACTGGCGTCTTCATTGACAACCGCTCGCCTACTTCAGATATTTCATCATACACTTCACTTGGGACTATCTGAAGGTTGATCACTCTCGCTTCCTCGCAACCAGGCGATGGGCGGACCATCATCTTAGTCGGCCACGGGTAGTTCGGCGTTTGGACAGCCGGTGGTTCCATCTCCTGAAGGTCGTCGAGACGTTGTGACTCTCGAGCTTGAGCTTTGGCAGAAATAGTGTTTTCATAAATGAGATTCTGCCACTCCCTATACCTTCGAGTGCCAACCCGCACATAACGTCCCGCTCTCGAAAAAAAACCATTCTCGAGAACTTGGGCAACTTCGGTCCGCCAGTCGATAGTGACAATGCGGTCGGAAATGTTGACTAATTTAATAGCAGCAAGAACCTTCCAAGCGTACAACACCTGAGTGACCCAACGATATCTGCGTCCAGCCCATACGGTCGACGGCCGCGTCAACTATTGGAACGCTGACAGTCGGATCGTGCGGTATTGTTCAGAGTGAAGATACATAGTATACGTTGGGCGAATTCTGTGAGCCATGCCATGCTTGACGTGGGATAGTCTCCTTCCTTAAATCCAAACTGTCTCTTCATCCGGAAGTTGAACTAGCCATTCCTTGACGCACAACCGTCACCCAGCCGAGATCGTGAAGTTCATTCCAAGCAATACATTCAAACCTACACCAATATTCGTGACCCAAACATCAACAACATACACCACAATTGGTCCTAAAGTGATTTTCACTTCGGGACTTGCAGTGATGCTGGTCAGTACACCTCCGAGTCCGGACACTGAAATCTGTTTGCCAAACTTGAGCTTGAGTTTTAGCCTACGCGCAAGGCCTAAACTCACCATACTCACTGACGCTCCAGAATCCAAGAGTATGTCCGTCCGAAAGTTATTCACCGCTCCATGTACCAATGCAATTTTCCGATTCTGTTCTTGCTCATGATCATGCCACCATCCGTAGCGTTCACCTCGTCTTAGGTGAAGTTCCGGACGCATGGTGATATCCGAGCCATCTGAACGTTTGCTTTGCGAATCATCCGAAACCGAACCTTCCGTAGGGAGATCCTCATCAAATACATTCATGGATTGTTGGTTATCTCGATCCTGCCTTCTCAACTCTGGTCCAACATAGGCTAGCACACATAAATAATTCTGGGGGTGTCTTGGGCTCGTCGCGTACTGGATCCCCATCCAGCGGGCTTAGTGGTTTAACGGCTTCGTCCCAGAATCTGCATGTCCGTCCAAAAGTTGATTGAGAATGTGATCAGGAATATCATTCAAGCTTCCTTGCTTAGCGAGATTCTTGAGTGCTTGCAGAGTTTTCAGTCCATAGCATTCTCCATCGTGAAATTTGTAACAGAACGGACAAGGGTCAACCTTGCAATACTTAGCTGGGTGTCCCTTCTTGTAACATCAATTGCATTCCATATCTGCCCAACAGAATTCCATAGAGTGCGATCCTTCACCGCAGTTATCACAATGGCGCGTTTGTTGCGGTCTTCCAAAGTCTGTCTTTGGCGGTGATCTATACTCAGAATTCGGAGGCCTCCAACCGGAATTCTCCAAAATCCGGTAGACCTCTGAGGTGACATCTTGTTTCCGAAGCATCATGTTCCCGCCAAGGATATCTCCAGACAAACCATCGACGTCCCTGTCGGAAGTAGATTCTTCAAATGACACTTTCTGATGCGCACCTTCAACGCCTTGCTCAAGCAGGACTTGTTGCTCATCATCACTCGCAAAAACCTCGTCTACGTTCACGTTGTACGCCCGGTTGTGATTCTTCTGTCGTTGCCGATTTCCAAATACACCATCAGCTTTCCTATCGTTACCCTTCAGGGGTGCGCTTCTCGATCGCTCGATCGTCACTCCACCAGCTTTCTTCATGTTGTTTCAGGATATGTTCCAAGTCCTTCAGACTGCGGACCCGCTGGCCTTGCAATGTCGATCTCAATTGAGTATCCTTCAACTTCTTGATGAACACTTTCAAGTGTCGGTCGCGTGCGATGTCTGTAGACTTGATGTCAATGTCCGCTTTTCCAGTATCTTGTTCAATCTGTAGTAGAACTCGCGAGGGGTTTCGCTTTTCCTTTGAAAAGTCGTGTAGTAATATTCGGAATCCGGGGTCTTCGCCTTGCAATACTCTTCACGGAAGGCTTTCACAAAGTGCTTCCAACTTCGACGCACCGATTCATCCAACTTCCCACGCCAATCGCGAACAGCCGAGGATAGCTTCAGCTTGCAATAGTAGACCTTTGCATGGTTCGGACCACCTTCCCATGACTGCGAGACTTTGGAACTTCTCCAACCAGCGCGTTCGGACGGCCAATGGCTGCTTCTCGTCAAAGTCCTCGAGCGCGGTGATGTTAACCATTGGGTTAAACATGATCGTCCTTTGGTTGGTCGCACGGGCCTAAAATCCTCGAGCGCGGTGATGTTAACCATTGGGTTAAACATAATCGTTCCTTGGCCGATCGCACGAGCCTGCGTCCCTGACGCGAGATCTTCAAACGAGCTGCTGTCGGAGTCACTGTCTCCGGACTCCTTATCGGAGTCGTTGTCATCGTCCGAGGGCTCGTCATCCGGCGGGCCGTGTTTCACTGCAGGCTGACCCGATGTGGTCGACATCTTCTTCAAGTCATCCTTCTGCCGTTCCTTCTTTCTTTGATCTGGTTTCCTTGCGCTCCTCTTACGAGACTTGTCCTCCACAGGTACCTGTTTGCCATCCGTCGGCGCCTCTGCCTTCACCGCCGTCGTCGTTGCCGCCTTAGCGGTGGCTGCGCGCGGGACGTTCTCCTTGGTCTCATCGAGGTCTCTTAGGGCGACTTGGGTCTGAGTGGCGTAGAGCGTTTTGACTTCTGGCGGTACCATCTGTTTTCTCAGAACAGGTGGGACACCCGTGTTCACGCCACTTGCGACTGGCTTCCCAGTTGTCGAATTAGGGTTCACATACACCTGAGTTGTCACTTCGGGGACCGGTTTCAATCCATTGTCAGGCATTCCTTGACATTCCGCTTGCTGCTTCAGACGCCCGACGAGGAACGACTGCAGATTCTTGTTGGCCTCGCGTTCTTGGTCACGCTCCATCCGCAGCGTCTGGAACTCTTTCTCGAAAGCGGCCATCTCGTCCAAGTGTTGTCGTCGCTGTGCCTCCATGTGTGTTTCGGCTCGAAGCTGGTAGTCGGCAAAGCGAGACTCCAATATGTCTTGGGCTGAGTGTCCACCATCCGCTTGGGGAATTTCCGGAGATTGGCTTTCCGACACTTGGTGTCGAACATCGTTTGGGAGTAATTCATCCTCCGGCTTGATGTCTGCGTATCCGTTATCATGCAGAGCGAGCACACTCATCGCGACCATCAGTGTCTCTTGAGTCTTCAGCATCTGGGCCATCGAATCTTTTACTTCGTGAATGGCGGTCAAAGCCACTTGCGTCGTTTCAGACGTCGACGAACGTGACGAACGTGATGAGCGACCTGATCTGGCAGTGCGTTCGAAATACTTGGAGCTCACGGACGGAGTTCTCTCTCGGCGTGGTCGGACATCTCCGTGGCGACTTCGAGAGCGTCGTCGGCGTCGGTGCCTCTCGTCATCCGAGTCATCTGCTGGATAATCTGACCTCCGACTACGGCTGCGCCTACGTTCCTCTTTTGGAGGTCGATTTGGAGGTCGGCTTGACTTTCGTGGTGGTTCAGGATCCGACATTTCCACGTCGTGTTGGTCAATCTCCAAAGGTACTCGTCGGCGATCTTCTGGAGGGATATAAGTCTGAACGTAGCCTTCGATCGGGACGGTTCCTCCGGTCTCTTGGGCAGTCATCACTCGCGGCATCGCACCTGCGAATGACATATGTGTTCCAGCTCCGATTCCAAAAG